CCTCTTCTCCCTCTCTGCCTAAGGTTTACCGGGCAGTTCTATTTGACGATATATATCCTGATGAGTCGGTGAAACTCTGACGAAACAGTTTGTCACAGCCCCTCGTTTGTTGTCCTCTTCTCCCTCCCTCTCTGCCTACGGTTTACCGGGCACTTCTATTTGACGATATATGCCTACGGTTTACCGGGCAGTTCTGTTTGTGACGATATATATTGTTTTTAATTTTATTTTTTGTTTTGTAAAGAATTTCGATATGACCCTGAGGCAAAAGTTGTTCAGTAACTTCAGTTCAATTATACCAACCGGAAAACAGGTCCGGCGTCCCTCACATCATCGGAAAAAGTGCCAAACTTTTGGGATCTTTGCCTTGCCTTGCTGAAGGTGATATGCTTTTTCCTATGATGCGAGGATTGCACTGAGGAACGCAAGACCAGTTTGCCTTTGCTTAAAGCATGTCACCTTGCTAAAAGGGTGAACTGTTAACCTTTGGCCGTAAGCATGTCACCTTCAGCAAGGAGAGGATCCCAATGTATAACAGCAAGATAAGCGTCTGTACAATCCCGCAGCTAAAAGGAAACGGCATTTCTCCTCAAAGGCCTCAGCGTTGCCAAACACATCCGGGCATATCAGACGACACCCCGGCCAACGGCGTGCATCGGACAACGTATGGCGAATACAGATATTAATTGAGCCACTAAATGTGGTAGCTATGTACAGAGTCACAGACCACAAATATATCACACAAGAAAAAAAAGAGGAGAAACAAATGTCCGGCCGCCCATCCGCCGCCGCAACAGCTATCACCAACACACCCGAAAAATGAAGCCAGCAGGAGCGGAACAACGTAAGTGCTTTTGCGGAAAATCCCTTGCGTTGGACTTTTGAAGGTCCATTCCGCAAGAATTGTCTGCTTGATGTCGTATTTCACCTCTGCCCTCAACATGGGTGGCAGCCGTCATATGAACCAGGCCGGTGTGCCTGGATCATCCGACACTGGCTGCCCTTCCAAAAAAAAAAAAAAAGTAGTTGTTGACTGTTGTTCAATGTTCAGTTCATTTTTCTGCATTCAGATTTTTTTTTTTTTTTTTTTTTTTTCCTGGGACCTTCTTTGGTCCTTGCACGGCCAGGCCGCACAGGCAAATACGATGACCCGGGCGGCCCGGCTGGTAGCATAGATCTGGACCATTTCTGGATTTATGCGTGTCATCCTTGCACAGGGGCTGTGCTAATCTTTTCTGTATCGCTTCAGTTTTAACTTTTAACGGATCTCCCGAAGGACACGTTATCTGTTTGGAAGTTTCAATTTGTCACAAGAAGTTCTTAGATGATCTTATGAACCTATTTATGAACCCCGCTTTTCCACTCGGAAAGTGATTCACCGCCTGGCGGCTTTAGGTTTTTGTGACAAATCGGGGAATCCTAAACCCAACTTCTTTTATTTCCAAATCTGTTTCATAAGATCGCTCCGAAAATGCTCTCACCCGCACTTGCTCGACTGAATTTGGCTGTCATTCCAGTCAGATACGTTCAAGAAAGTAAAGTTGTGAGTATACAACCTTTTAGCTGGGAAAAGGTGGGAGACAAAATCTCTTCTCTTAGCTGTGTAAAGGGGGGAGGCGAGAGTCGGAGAATGAAGCATGGGTATGGACCTATGGGTGGAACGCTTCGGTAGAACCGAACTAGTTGGTCAGTCATATTGAGCATGTCATGTGAATGTGCAGAGATTTCATCGGTTGCTTACATGCTGTGGGTATGGTGGTATGGAGGGAGTAGGAGGGGGAGGGTAAAGAAGGGCAGGGGCTTCCATGGGGTGGCCTTGACAAGCAAGTGAAGGCAGGGAAACATGAGAGTGCCTCCTTTGCATCTGAGGGGGCCAAAGGAAGTGGTTGTGGGTCTCTTATTGCACACGAAAAAAAAACTCGCATGTGAGGTAGGGCGGGGGGGGGGGGGGGGGGGAAAAGGGGGGGTTCAAGCCTCTCTTGCTGTTGGTATTTTGCGGTTATGGTGGGTCGACTTCTTGAAAGTTATGTGGTCGGTGTCAACGACGCCTCGTTAGCTCAAGGCAATAGGAATCCTCTGAAGTCGCTCCACTAGCCTCAACAAAACGCCACGTTGCCGAAGGGGGGTTTTCACTTCATCATGTCTTTAAAGTCTAGCTCCAAGACTGTGCCACATACGCGGATGTAAGATGTATTCCTCAGTTTTTACCTGTTAATGGCTTAGATTCTGGGGCAATGGGTGCTCAACTGTCTATCATGCCATGCCGGACCTATCTGTGCAGTTGAGTGCATCGCTGAAATGGTTGAAAAGGTTGCAATCTTTGCTGCCATGTCTGTCGGGCTTTCAGTCGGGTCCGTTGGTCGGCCCGTTGGTCGGTCTATCGGTCGGTCCGTCCGCCCGGTTGGTCTGTCAGGTCTTTCGGTCTGTCGCTAGGCCATCCATGGTGGTGGGTCCATACATCCATTCGTGCACCTGTCAAGCACATCGCATAAATGGTTGAAAAGGTCGCAATCTTTGCTGCCATGTCTGTCGGGCTTTCAGTTGCGGGTCTGTTGGTCGGCCCGTCGGTCCTTCGGTCTGTCGCTACAGTAGTCCATCCATAGTGGGTCCATACATCCATCCGTGCACCTGTCGTCCACCTCTCTCTCTCTCTCTCTCTCTCTCTCTCTCTCTCTCTCTCTCTCTCTCTCTCTCTCTCTCTCTCTCTCTCTCTTTGTGTCATCAACTGTATGTATCCAAATTTGTAATGCTGTATCACAGAAATCACTCATAACATGAATTGTGTTGCTCATGCTCCCTGTGGGTGGTGGTCCCCCACCACCCAGACCACACCCACCCCAGCCCGACCCTTCTTTTTTTTTCAATTTTATTTTTTACATGATCGTTTTATTTCAACACCCTATGTCCCAAAAAACACCCCAATAAAAAAAGATAAAAAATATACGAAG